TCCTTCATAAAAACACTGTACCCATGGGCCCTGAGACTTAACTGGGTCTCAACTGGTGCAGGTGCGGGGAATCAGGAACATGCCCTTCCTGACACTCCGGCCCTGCAGTGGACATTCTAGATGGAAAGTGTAATAAGCAAGTGGGGAAGAATAAAGGGTTGTTCTCATTTAAAAATGGGCTAGACTACTCATGGGTACAATGAGAAAGCTAACGAATTGGAAGGAATTGGAGCTCCCCCATCACAGCAGTCCTCGAATACCTCTGGAGGAGAGGTATTTTCCTCAGGCGTTTTATTTGCTTAAACTCTGTAATAATTGTAGACTGCTATGAGCAAACATCACCAGGACCCATCAAAGAGTTTAGGGTAATTGACTTGGGTTTATAAAGCTGAGAAAAACTGATCCCCTGGTTCTCTTCTAGATTCTGAGCTTCCATCATCTCTCATACCAGATTTCTACCTTAATATACCTATCTGCTTGAGTTATCCACTCTACCAAACAAATATAACCATTTTACTGTGCCTGAGTGCTTTTTGAAGCAACAAGTCGCTGCTTACAGCTGCTCATGTTGTGCACTGCCCAACTTCAAAGGGCAGGGCACTGTTCGGCTAGACCACAACAGTGTGTGGCAATCCTGAGAGTTTCGAAAAGTTAAAGCAAATCAAAACCTAGACAGTGACTTTCATGTGGTTTTCACAAGCAGCCTCCCTACTCTAGTCAGGATTGTTTTGCTTACTCAACAGCCCCGAGTCAAGCAGGCACTTAAGGCCCAGCCCCTTGATACTAAGGTTTCAAGTCACTGGCACTCCACTGACCAGAGGTGAAAAGAGAAACGGCCACACACATCTTTAAGGCCCCTTGGCACACAATTTGTAGAAGTTCTAAGAAAGCAGCAAACGGGATCGTGGTGACCACACGCAGAGTACCGTCACAACACAGAAGTAGGTGTAGTTTTACAGTGTTTCCCTGGGCCGCTCATGGATTAAAAGCTGAACTTGGTGCTGGTACAGATGGAAATCTTGGGCTTCTTCCAGAAGGCTGCCACCAGTCTGTATATAACCCCACACACACACCTTCACCGGGGCCTTTGCCAGAGCCCTGCTACGATGGCTACTGAGGCCAGAAGGATTCCTGAACCCTACAGCTCTGGGGCATCCCTTCACTGGGAGCCTCAGCCACCTGCAGCAAGGGAGGCCAAGGCCACCTCAGCTGTTGACACCAGGGTCACAGCCAGTCTCACAGGCCAGCAAAATCCTTCTCAGGAGCCCAACTTTCTTTACCTGGCCCCTGCAAAGATAATCACCTCCACTACCTGAAAACCACAACGCACAAACTTGCATGCAGGAGTCCTTCCAGGGAAGTGTACGGAGCCTCTCTCTGATGAACCCCATGGGAGTTACAACTCCCTGAGCTGCCCACCACACACTCATCCTCAGCCATTCACCATACCGTGCAGTCAAAACCTGCAGAAGGAATGGGGGTGAGTATCTGACGTCCATTCAGTTGTTGTTGTTGTTGTTGAATATAATCTGAAGGAAAATTCATTGTTGTAAATATCTTTTTCTGGTATAACTGAGTTCTAAACAGGTTCTCAAATAAGAGCGATTTGTTTTTGTTTTTGTTTTTGATGCCCTATACATTTTTTTTTTTTAATTGAGATATAATTCACCCTTCTAAAGGGGATCCTGGGTGGCTCAGTTGGTTGAGCATCTGACTTCAGCTCAGGTCATGATCTCATGGTTCATAAGTTCGAGCCCCACGTTGGGCTCTGTGCTGACAGCACAGAGCCTGGAGCCTGCTTCGAGTTCTGTGTCTCCCTCTCTCTCTGTTCCTCCCCGCTCATGCTGTCTCTCTCTGTCTCTCTCTCTGTCTCTCTCTCTCTCAAAAATAAATAAACATTTTAAAAAATAAAGTGTACAATCCACTGGTTTTTAGCATATTAACAGAGTTGTACACCATCACCACCAGCAAATTCCAGAACACTTTCATCACCTCAGAAAAAAAAAAAAAATCTGGGGCCTATTTAAAAAAAATTTTTTTTTGAATGTTTAATTTTTTTGTGTGTGAGACAGAGAGAAAGAGAGCATGAACAGAGGAGGAGCAGAGAGAGAGGGAGACACAGAAGCCAAAGCACACTCCAGGCTCTGAGCTGTCAGCACAGAGCCTGACATGGGCTCCAACTCACAAACCATGAGATCGTGACCTGAGCCAATGTCTGATGCTTATCCAGACTGAGCCACCCAGGTGCCCCGAGGGGCCTATTTTAAATTACTCTTCTGCCTAGGCCATTCTGCAACCATAGGCTACTGACCACTTTGTGTTCCCAGAGAGTAAGTAAGTGCCCAAGATATTCTTGCATTGACCTAAAAAGTTTAGCAATAACTCAAGATGAAATGTGGGATTGCTGGCCAAACTGTATAAACTATTACCAGCATCACTGTGCTCAGAAACTGGTAGACAAAATGGCCCTCAAACTGATGAGAGAGCATAAGGCAAGCTGACAGGCCGCAGCCCTGCCCACCCCCCAACCCCCAGGTGGGATATGTGTGATATTCCTCCCACTCCTTGGCTGCCCAAGAATGAAGGAAAGGGAAAAAACAAATGGTTAACTGATAGAGATCATAGTCCTGCAGGACCTAAGTCTCCATTACCCCTCCATAGTGATGTGGGAATCAAAGGCAGAAGGAAATGGCAGATAGAACTAAATTTCCTTATAACCTGCAGCCCCTTGACAAACACTTGAGGCTGGCAGAGTAAAACGTTTTTCCAGGAACTTCCTACTGTTTTAATGCTAATGCTTTGCTAGAGGGAAAAACAACCTTAGCTTGACAATAGCTAGGCCTCCACTATCCTGGGAGTCTTCTTTAGCATACGAAAAGCTCACTAGAAACTTCCCATGGACTTTACCTCCCCAACTCCATAGTATATAACCAGTCTCTCTTCATGGTCCCTGGGCAGCTCTTTCTGCCCACGGGTCCTGTCTCCATGCTTTAGTAAAATCACCTTTTTGCACCAAAGATGTCTTCAATAATTCTTTCTTTGTCATGGGCTCCAGACCCCCATGAACCCCACTATCACCCCAAAAACTTCATCAAAACCAAGAGAAGCTCCACAAGGAAGTTTAGTAACACTGAAGGTATTCACTCACTCCAGAGACTTTATAATAAACTGTAGAATCACTGAAAAAGAAGCATTTAAAAAGAAAAACCTGAGAGAAGGGTCAGGAGACCTAAACTCCAGTCTCTCTCTGCTATTCACCTCCCCTGCACCATCTCGGCCATGTCCCTTAACTGCTCTGGGCTTCAATTTCTTCATTTGTAAAATATGACGGCACCAAGGATAATCACTAAGATTCCTTCCAGCTCTGAGAATCATGAGTAACAACGAACAAGCATCACCTCTTGGTTGAAAGGCTGAGGGATTTCTTGAGGTGAGAACCATTCGCCCAAATCCACCAATAATCACTCAGGGAGCAAGAAGCATGCAAACCAAGCAGAACCAGGAACTTTCCAAAGGCTTTCACTGAAACACATCTCAAAGGGGAGGTTCCTTAGGGGGCTCTGCAATGTCTGGTGGGTGGCAACCTCCTGGCCATGCGCGAAAGAATGACAAGAGAGCATGTAAAGGCAGACAACCAGCAGTATGGGTGAGCAGACTGTTCAGGGTCAACACCATGGGGTCCATATGATTTTTATTTTACAAAGGATAGGCTTTCAACACACGAGAATGCAGAGAGCACTCCACAGCAAACCTCAGAGTCTGGAGATAACACTAGACTGTGGGAACGGGCAGAAAATAGATGCGCATCAGTGTGGGCAAGTGTAGACTAATGCATTGAGAAAAAGGTAATTCAAATTATCCTCATGAGGCACGGTTTGGATGGGTCACATACAATCTAGAAACACTGAGTCACTCTCGACAGTTCCCTCAAGATACTAATTCAAAGAGTTTGAAGCAGCTAAAAGCACCAACAGAAACCTTTCATTGTTTTGGGCACCATAGGAGCTAGAAAGGGCCTTAGAAACAACCCGGTTCACCTTTCTCATTTTAACTGAGACTCTGAGAGCTCGGGAAATGTCTCACGCACAGCAAATGGCCAACAAACATTAGTTTAAGGAGCATGGCCAAGAAAACATGTATTTCCAGCCATACTGCACACAGATACTATTTCATTATCTTTGGCACCAACTTCAAAACGGTAAAAAACCACAATGGAATAGAGTATTGTGGGCAATTCCTGAATCTGAAAAACCACTATAGAGTAACCAAGGCAGCAACAAGGTAAAGATAAGCTTTAAAACTTGACTTCCTTGGGGCGCCTGGGTGGCGCAGTCGGTTAAGCGTCCGACTTCAGCCAGGTCACGATCTCGCGGTCCGGGAGTTCGAGCCCTGCGTCAGGCTCTGGGCTGATGGCTTGGAGCCTGGAGCCTGTTTCCAATTCTGTGTCTCCCTCTCTCTCTGCCCCTCCCCCGTTCATGCTCTGTCTCTCTCTGTCCCAAAAATAAACGTTAAAAAAAAAAAAAAAAACTTGACTTCCTTAATCAGGAATCTTGAATATTGCAGGCTAATATACGATAAAAAGGTATGAAAGGAGGTCAATTAGAAGTAGGGTGAATTTGAACTTTCTCACCAAATCCTTTAGCACTAGGATTGAAGAGCGATTCTGGATGTTTGAAGAAGGAACTTTAGAAGTGGAGAAGGTGAGCACTAGTTTTACAAAGTAAAGGCAGATAAGCCTTTCTGTACATCTGAGACCACACCAGATGAAAACACAGACAACAAAATTGAAGAAAGGGTAAGAATAAATTCATGGGCGATAAATCCACAATGGGTCCTCGAGACCAGGTTCAAGTATGTGGGCCGTGCCTAACCCCTGAGCTTCCATCCTGAAGGCAAACCACATTCTCTTACAAAACGTCCCTTAGGGATAATAAGGGGGCGGGGAGGGTGCGGTGTCAGAGCACTGGGTTGAATGGGCCACATAAAACAGTCCGACTTACCTGTCGGATGAGATGCAACTGCCAGGAGCACCACACTGAAAAAAGAAACAGCAGAGCAGTGAAGAAGTCTTTCCCAGCACTGAAAAATCACAACGTACATTTCCACCCATTCTACTTGGAAAGAGTGAAATTAGCCTAAATGCAAATTATCTGCACTGAATGGTCTCATTCTGCCTAAATCCAACTTGTCAGTGAGAGGGTGAGAATCTCCCAAGATGCCTCAGATTTTGACAAGAGGGTTGAACGTACCCCGTGACGGACGGAGGATCTATGCCCCACTCTGAGGTCATCCATGCCACCAAGAATTATCACACTCACCTAATCTTCCAAGAATATTTGTAAACTAAACAAAGCAAACTGTGAATTACAAATAGGCTGCAATCTAAAAAAATAGCTGTTGGGTGTGAGCTGAATCTACTTTTGCCACAAAATTAAATTTGTAGAGGGTAAGTTAAATTCCCAGGGGGCACCTGGCTGGCTCAGTCGGTAGAGCACGTGACTCTTAATCTCGGGGTCATGAGTTCAAGTTTCACGTTGGACATGGAGTCTACTTAAAAAAGACTTTCCAGGAGAGCGCCTGGGTGGTTCAGTGGGTTAAGCATCCGACTTCAGCTCAGGTCATGATCTCGTGGCTCATGAGTTCAAGCCTTGCGTTGGGCTCTACGCTGGTGGTGTGGACCCTGCTTGGGATTCTCTCTGTCTCTGCCTCTCCCCTGCTTGTGCTCTCTCTCTCTTTCTCTCTCAAAATAAATAAGCTTACATTTTTTTTTTTTTTTAAAGGGAGATCAAACCAGTTGTTGGCTCTGTCAGGCAGAGCTTCTGGCTGACAGACCAGCACAGCTGCCTTAGGGATCTGAAGGATCCCAGTTCTCTGGGTGCTGATGGCCTCAGTGTCCAGTGCCCACAGGAAACTGAACGGCAGCCCTCGTTCTGATTCACATATCTTCATCACTTGTACTGAAATCCTTGGAAACAGAATCGTGGCTTCTTCAGTGGGGTGCGGGGCAGGCCCAGCCAGGAAGCCTTTGGCACCAGGCTCACAGGCAATGAGTGTCCTTACTGGAGGGGAAGGAGCTGGGCTGACAGAAGAATGAGTCAGGGGTCACAGAGGCTCACTTTTCCATCCCCTTATTCCTTTGCCACTCGAGCAGACTATAATAAGTTCTGGGGAGAAAAAGAACTGCCAGCGTGTTCTGATGTCATGGAAACATTTTAAACATCAAGAGCCTTCTGCATTTTCAGAAGAATCTCTTGAAAAAGGCTGCTGGTATGTCTGGGCAGAGTGGAACTAATGACTGTTTTCAGCAGAGTACAAAAGAGGCCTATAGCCATGCTTGGAGTGGATCCTTTCAAAAACGGCATTTTAATAAACTGATATTTATGAGCTTTATCTGCAGATGGAGAGTACAGCTCATGTTGAACGTTTTAAGATGAACTTCCTGCAGAAATCAGCATGACCAAATGCTGAGAGGCACATCCCCAGCCCGGGTCATCTTCCCAAGCATGGCTGCATTCGTGCAAACTTGGGCTCTCCATGGCAGAGCTCATGCTCCTTCTCAGCTAGGTCCCAGTCAGCGACCACTAACCCCCAAAAACACTAGGCAGCTGTTCTATTTAGCTGACAGAGCCCTATTCTTTGCTTGGCTTTCGCCAATGGTATATGAACAACAGTCCATATACCATATTTAAATATTATAAATCAAGCTTCAAACTTAATTCTATCTTAATAAATAAATATACCTTCAAAACAACCTGGAAGCCTGGATTAGAACTCAGAATTCTTGGAGTCCTTAGAGCTTCATATCAGAATGTGGTCGCATGGACAGATCCAGCCTCCGGCTCCTGGCTCCCAGTGAGCCCCCTTCTCTTTCCACCCCAGGCTCCTTCCTGCACACTGAGGCCTCACACGCTTGTGTGTGGACACATCAGCCTGCAAATCCACCCTCCATGCACACCCTCCTCCCCCACTAACAGCCTGGTTTTGGACACTTCTTGGGTCTAGGAAAGAGTTGGGAAGACAGACCCAAGGAGGCCTTGGAATCAAGCTCGGGACCAATTGAGCAGGGAATTCTAGATCCCAGGCTAGAAAGGATGGTATGGGCCCTGGGAAGAAATGTCCCCTTAGCCTTACAGACTCCATAAGCCATGGGAAGAAGCATGGCCTTCTGAAGTACGGAGCCAGACAGAGGTCCCTCTTGCCTAGTCTACGGACAGAACTATGATTTGGTCTCCTCGACTTTAAGTCATCTCACAAATTATTTAGCTTGCCTTTCTGGTAGGCATATCGGCTCAGAATCAAAATATTGGAAAATAAAAATCCATTAGCGCCAGAAAGACATGAGTTGTTCTTTGAAAATGTAAATTATATTTTACCTGAACATGTAGTTTAAGTACTGCTGGTCAATGTCACTAAGGAATGAGAAAAAAGAAAAAAAAAGATAAAACATGTGAAATAGTAGAAGTGTTTTACATACACAAAATAGTCACCTTCTACTAATAAATTATATCTATGGTTAAGTTTCTACATTTAAAAATTGTCAATAAATGGTATAACAAGTATACCAAACGAGTATATTCAAAATTAGTTCCTGGCTCATTTAAAAAAAAAATGTTTTAATGTTTATTTATTTTTGAGAGAGAGAGAGAGAGAGAGAGAGAGACAGAGTGTGAGTGGGGGAGGGTCAGAGAAAGACACACACACACACAGAATCAGAAGTAGGCTCCAGGCTCTGAGCTGTCAGCACAGAGCCCAATGAGGGGCTCAAACTCAAGGACCTCGAGATCATGATCTGAACAGAAGTCGTACACTTAACCGACTGAGCCACCCAGGCGCCCCTGGCTCATTTTTAAAACACGTTTCCTAGTTTGGTGCTATCACACACATGTTCACCTGTGGCAGATTATCTTCTACATGTATTTTGCCTCCTTAAAAAGGAATGTCAAGTCTCAGGCCACTGGACTGGCTCCTGGGGCTGCCATATTTGACCAGTAAAAATATAGGACACCCAAATAAATCTGAATCTCAGATAAAGAATCATGTTTAAGTATGCTCCAAATATTGCCTGGGACATAGCTACACTAAAAAAAGGATCACTACTTATCTGAAATTCAAATTTAACTGGGCATTCTGTATTTTATCTGGCAACTCCACTGGCTTCTTGCTGCAGAAACACTTCATTAAAAGAAGGAAAGGTGCTCTAGGGACCCAAGTCACAGCCTCCGAGTATAACCCTCTCCCAGGGGTCCTTCCCTTCAGGCCCACCAGCGGGCCCTGAAACCGAGAGGCCAGTGAGGCCAGTCTAGGGCCTCTGACCTCCCAGCTGCAGCCCAACTCACACCGGGACTCCCGTCTCTTCCATTTACATTTGCCAAGGCTGGTATGTTGACTGCCCACAATAGAGGCTTCATTTTACCCCAGAACAGACTGGGGAATTTCTGGGTCTAAACAAAGTCAAGTTAGGAAGGGGCTGAGGAAACCAGAAAAAAGAGTTGGTCTCTGAGTTGGAAGAAGTTAACTAGGGCCCAAAGCAGTGAGTCACACAATTGTTATAAAAATGTCATCTGAACGCTGCCTCTGAAGGGAGAGGGTAGAGGACCCCCTGCTCTTCAAACATCATTGGTACGATCAGGTGCTGGTGGACCCCGCCTGGAACAGCCCAACAGCAGGACAAATGGCTTTGGGGGCCCCAGGCTGCTGTGCCCTGACCACAACCCAGACTTGCAGAGTTTCTGGCTGAACAGAACAAGCTCACGACACTATGGGCCTCACCTCTTTGCTTTAACCAAACAAGAACTCACCACACTTTAAAAGTTTACCTTAGGGCACCTGAGTGGCTCAGTTGGTTAAGCATCTGATTTTGGCTCAGGTCATGATCTCACGGTTCATGAGTTTGAGCCCCACATCGAGCTCTGTAGAGCCTGCTTCAGAATTTATGTCTCCCCCTCTCTCTGGCCCTCCACAGCTCACACTCTGTCTCTATCTCTCTCAAAAATAAATAAGCATTAAAAAAAAATAAATGAATTAATTAAATTTTACTTTAGCGTTGCCTGGGTGGTGCAATCAGTTGAGTGTCCGATTCTTGATTTCAGCTCAGGTCATGATCTCACAGCTTGTGGGTTCCGACCCCCTTGGGGCTCTGTGCTGACAGTGTGGGAGCCTGCTTGGGATTCTGCCTCCCTTGCTCTCTGCCCCTCCCCTGCTTGCTCTCTATCTCTCTCTCAAAAAAATAAAATAAACTTTAAAAAAATTTTAAAGTTTACCTTAACGCATTGGGTTTCCAGGACTTCTGCAATATCTTATAAGCCCCTGAAAACGAAGCAATGGGTGTTACTGGCACAGGGCATTCTGCATAAAGGGCTGCAGGCAATTCCAGGGAAGCATGAAAACCCCATGGACAAGGGCCACCCTTCCCACGAGGGACATCCACAGCCAACAGGGGGCGACAACAACACTGGAGGGCTCCAGGATGTGAAAGCCACAATCCCTGTGATAAAAGTTCAGTACCGAAGAGTGCTGGGCCAGGAAGGCTTGAGATCAGCAGAAGGAGACAATTAACAGGAAGCTTTCGGCTTCCTTTGCAGGGTGCCCAGGAGAAAGAAACACTGGATCTCTGAACTGTGTGTAACAAAGTCAGGGCACTGCTTTCCCTCCACGACAGCAGACAGGAAACACTGAGCGTATGATTTGAAATAAAGTCAGACAGGCTTTTTATTTCCCTCCCTTGCTTTTCTTCGGGTATACTGCTGAAAGAGGGTGTTTCTGACCCAAACTTCTGGATCTCCCTCACCACTTTTTGAGAACACCAACCGGCATGTCGCAAGTAGACTTGAGCAAGTGGGGCCCAAGCCATGGTGAGTTAATTAATGTTTGTCGAGAAAAAGAGGAGACTATATCAGAAATGAAAATATTTGAAGAAAACTCCAAAACAGGAAAATCAGATCAGAAAATGCCCATGTAATTTTAATCCTGACACCTGGTCTTTTTTTTAATTTTTATTTTTAATATAATTTATTGTCAAATTGGCGAACATACATACAGTGTGTAAAGTGTGCTCGTGGTTTTGGGGGTAGATTCCCATGGACACCTGGTCTTTAATCTTCCTATTGCTCAGAGTCACTGAAAAGTGGACATATATGATAAGGTCAAAATAATAAGCCTCAATTATTAAGTAAGCATTCTTTTAAAACTTACCTACACAGAATAAGTGAATTACAGCCCAGAAATATCCATCTGGATCAAACTGTAACACAGGATTAAAAAAAAAAAAAAAGCGGCTGTAAGTATAGACAAACAGGATCCAGCATAGCACTTGGAAACCCTAAATAACGGATGCACAGTGCCAAGCAAGGGTTCCACAACAGGACTCTCGGGGTCTTGGGCCAGTCTGTCCTCATTTCTCAGCTGGTTGCTTACAAAATCTTCCTAACAGGGCTCTTTGTCTCCAACACCCCTTGCCCCATTCTCCACACTGTCCTCACACTGTCTCTAAAAGGCTAATCCAATGGTGTTGCCTATGGCTTAAAATCATTCACCAGTCCCCCAGGGACTTTAGGATTAACTTCAAACTCATGACACCCAAGGATCTCTCTGACAAGCCCATTCCTATCTACTGTACCTCCAGGGAAAGAATTTGTACTTCCCCAAGCATGAATGCTCCCCCTCCACCAACTTGGGGGGGCACTCCCTCTCTTCTTCCCTTCCTTATTTTTCTCCACAGAAGCTTATCTCATCTGACATGCTCTATTTCACTTGTCACCTGTCTCTTTCTCTACCATCCACTAGACTGTAAATTCCCACAGGGCAGGAATTGGCACAGAGGCATGCACATAAGATGTGCTCACTAAATTTGAATCACAGAATACTCAGGACAGCTCCAGGACTGTGCCCACACCTGCTTTGTTCTCCACCCAACTCCTCCTCACCCTTCAAGATTTTGGTCCGATAGCAGAGCAGGGCTATCATACCAGATACATCTGGTATCAATTCTAAAATCCCCACTTATTCATTAGCTGGGGACCTTTGGGGCCTCATTATTCTTTTCTTTTTAAAATATTTATTTATTTTTGAGAAAAAGAGAGCATAAGTGGGGAGGGGAAGAGAGAGAGGAAGACAGAGAATCCCAAGCAGGCTCCTCACTGTCAGCACAGAGCCCAACGCGGGGTGTGAACTCACAAACTGTGAGATCATGACCCAAGTCAAAATCAAGAGCTGAACGCTCAACTGACTGAGCCACCCAGGTGTCCTGGGGCCTCATTATTCTTTAGCTCTGTAGCGGAGATAATAATAGTCCCTTTCCTCATAACACTGTGAGATTTTAAATAAAATAAGACTTGTAAAACATTGGCACAGAGCCTGGCACATAGTTAGCTCCCTATAATTGTTAGCTATTCCTCCTTTCTGGGTCCCTGAGTCTTCTTAGGTGCCTCACAACATCCCATATCTCCCCAGGACAGAGCTCTGGCCTCCCTGTTGTAATTATCTGTTTATTATCTGTCCCCCTCCCCTTCGCTCTGTCTAGACTCTGCCTGGATGAGGACAATTCTTCTTTGTGTCCCCAGAGCCTGGCTCAATGCCTGACACTTGATGGGGACTTAATAATTGCTGAGGGAGAAAAGAAAGAAAAGAGACCCACTAATGAGATGACAGTACTGGGGGGTAGAGGTGGGTCCTCAGTGCCTAATAAAGAAAAACTCAGGATAACAAAGTGAAAATCACTCTACAGATGAGGCCCTTGGCTGAGGGGGAAAATCAACTTTGCCTCAATGCATGAGGCTAAGGCAACTTGGGCACTGGCTTGTGGGTCCTCCAAGCACTTACAGAGGGCAGACTGCACCCACCACAGCACCCACAGGCCAGAGCCCCGCTGCATTGCCACAGCCTTGGGGAGAAGGCAATAGCCTGAGGAAAAGATGTTAACCTGGCCAAGAGGTACCCGGCCCGGAGCTTTGAAATGCATTTGTACAGACTAGGGTTCTTCTGATTCTAGAAGGACTAGAAAGTTCTGCTCATACATGCAGGCTTCAGAGAGTAAAAGACACTTGGAAGGCAAAATGAATGCACTTGAACTGACCTGGGAGTCGTTGAAGGGGAGGCATCCTGCAGCAGCCAGGAGGAAGAGGGCACTGTGCAAAGGGAGATAAAACAGGCAGCTTCACTTTTCAACATCAAAGTGTTTCCCAGAGACCGTGGAGATTGAAACACATCGAGTGGAGCACAGATGAGGCCAAGACCCTGCGAGACCAAGCCCTGTTCCCCCATCCCTCCTCTGAGAACCCCAGTAGGTAGTTGTCAACCATGTGCTCCACTGGTGACCAGACAGTTTCTTCCCTGGTGCTCAGCTGGCCTTTCCCCAGACACAGGCATTTGTAAAACCACAGCTGGCTCACTGGAGAAAAACAGGATGCCGGTGAAATAGATAATAAAAGGAGATTTTTTTCAAACTGCAGATGCCCAAAAATACACTAGTGGAAAACTGGGCAATCAGGCTGTAGTTATAGCACTTGGGCAAAAGAAAGCACATTAAAACCTTGGGTGCAGCACCTTCGCCAAGTGATCAAACTTAACATGTCCAATGAGAGGGCAGATGTACATCATGTGCCTCCTGATACGAAATCCTGAAAGGACCCAACGTCACTCAGACGGCATTCCTGCCAAATATGCATAACCCACCCCGCATGGCCGGCTGGACCGAGGCAGGGGAACCGGTACAGAGGACTCCTCAGAGCTGGGACCTCACAACCCTGGGAAGGTCAGGATGACAGGGAACATCCTGAGTCACAGGAAGGTCCTCCACTCCAGCCCATCCCCATCCTAAAGCCTTGCCAACTCTTAAGAAGGCACACAAATGGCTTCAAGAAGACTCCAAGGCACCAGATTACCAAGGCACTCAGAGGCAAAGGGTGTGGTGAGTGGAGGGAGGCTGTCGGAAGGGTTTCTGGGACCACATAGGATGAGGCAGGTGGAAGGAGAAGAGAACTCTAATGGACTGGGTGTCTACCTATAGTAGAAGACTTTATAGAATATAGGATCCTTCCCCATCCACAGGCAGTGAGTGTTAAACAGCCCTTGGGGCTGAGAGAAGATGGGGGCCAGCCAGGTGTGAGACAGCACCTGGTTTTCCCACCAAACCGGGCCTTGAGCAATACCTTAATATATCAGGTATTAGTGGGTTTTAATGCCTCTCTTTAACACCTGCTAATCTTTTAAACAAGAGAATGAGTCCTGACAGTGTTGTTGTTATTTTTTTTCCAAGTAGCAGCCTGTAATAAAAGCAAAACAAAAAGTCCTAAATCCGTGTGTCTGTTAGTTTCCTATCTTCAAGAATGAGCTTCGTGGCTATTGTAGAGGAAGCCGGAAGCAGCTAGAGAACAAGGCAGTCAGCACACTGGAGGCACAGGGACCGCCTGAGGGTCCAGCCCGGTTCGTGTTCCAGCCGAGGCGATGAGGCACAGAGGGCTGTGAAGTCTGCCCTGAGTCACTTTGCCGTGGCCCAAGAGGACGACTCAGATCCCTGACCTTGCAGCCAGCACTTTTCCACCACGGGAATCATAAAAACCCATTAAGTTGCAAACAAATATTTTTCAAATTTTAAGTCATTCCCATGTTTTCCATTTTACTTCTCCCATCAGCAGCGCACAACTCTTAGTGAAGGTTTGGGCGACAGCAGCTGAAATCTAGCACACGTTATTTTCCCCTTCGGAACAGAATATTCAGGGGAAAATACACAAAGAGAGAAAGAGTAAAATTTAGAATAAGACACAAAATAGGGATATATAAGCATATATAATAAATTCTGTCCACTCTCAAATAGGAATCTGCCAACAGTTTATCATCAACAGTTAAAATTAGGTTAAATCTTCTATTTTAGAGGGCTGTGGGTTTTTGGGGTTTTTTAAACTTACCTACAGATCTTTGCAGGAGAAGTTTTCTGTATGAAAATAAAGAGACTTATAGTTACTATTTAAAAATTCTTTTTCCCCTTAAAAGAAAATATTTTATTTTTAATTGTTTTTAAGGTTTATTCATTATTGAAGACAGATAGAGATTGAGCATGAGTGCGGGAGGGGCAGAGAGCAAGGAGACACAGAATCCGAAGCGGGCTCCAGGCCCTGAGCTGTCAGCATAGAGCCCGACATGGGGCTCAAACCCATGAACCACGAGATTATGACCTGAGCCAAAGTTGGACGCTTAACTGACTAAGCCACCCAGGCGCCCCTAAAAGGAAATATTTAGATCCAGAGGCAAATAAGTTTTGAGTAAGCTTATCGGGGCCTTAAGCATTTGCTGCACCTCAGTATTTCTTGGGGCTTTTTCTGCTTGGACCACATGAAGAATGACTCAGAGGTCCAGAGTTGAATCATCTGGGCAAAGCACTCTGGGTGTGCAGTTTTACTACCCTCACCACTGGAATTAAACCCAAAACCCCAAAATGATGCCAGGGCTAAGCCTTCAAATATCTTACACACCAAGAAAAAAGAGAGAAATTGATGTGACCTGTGTAAGAAGAGAAATTAAGCTCTTGTTCAACTTCTGTTCCAATCTATCTCCTTATATTTTCCTTTCATTAATCTGGCTCTGACTCTGGGCAGTGTTATAAATCCTCGGGGATGATGTATAAGTGAAGAAACATGAAAATGGAGAAAGAACAGTTAACTCCCCCCACCGCCCCCAAAAAGAGAGAAAGGGCAGACTGGGGAAATTGGCATTTAAAGCTCTCTGAAATTAGGAAATTCTAATGCAGACTCTACCTTTAGCCTCTCCTTTTTATTAGTCATCTAAAGGGAATTAGTCCTTTGCACTCAGGAAAAAAGTTCTAGCAAGGAAAAGCACAGATTTTTCTACATTTGATAGAGGAAATGACAGATTAATTCTGGTCATTTCAAAAGGATTACTTTGCTAGTTGAGGACAAACTGTAGTTTTTATTACTCTAGTTCAGGGAAAGTGAAGTATGAACATATTGTTTAAAAATGAAGCACTCGGGGTGCCTGGGTGGCTCAGTCAGTTAAGCATCCAACTTCGGCTCAGGGCATGATCTCACAATTCATGAGTTTGAGCCCCACATCGGGCTCTCCGCTGTCAGCACAGAGCCTGCTTCAGATTCTCTGACCCCTTCCCCTTTGCCCCTCCCCAACTTGTGTTTTTTTCTCTCTGTGTTTCTCTCTTCCTCTCCCTCAAGAATAAATAAACATTTTTTTAAAAGTCTGTTAAAATTAGGGGCGCCTGGGTGGCGCAGTCGGTTAAGCGTCCGACTTCAGCCAGGTCACGATCTCGCGGTCCGTGAGTTCGAGCCCCGCATCAGGCTCTGGGCTGATGGCTCAGAGCCTGGAGCCTGTTTCCGATTCTGTGTCTCCCTCTCTCTCTGACCCTCCCCCGTTCATGCTCTGTCTCTCTCTGTCCCAAAAAAATAAATAAACGTTGAAAAAAAAAAAAAAGTCTGTTAAAATTAAAGCACTCAAAAGTACAAACTTCCAGTTATAAAAGAAATAAGTCTTGGGGATGTAACGTACAACATGGTGACCATAGTTACTAATACCGTATCTTAGATCTGAAAGTTGCTAAGAGAGTAGATCCTGAAAGTACTCATCACAAGAAAAAAAATTTTATAACTACCTATGGTGATGCATGTTAACTAGACTTATTGTGATCATTTTGCAATACATACAAATATCCAGCCGGTATATTGTACACCTGAAACTAATATAATGTTATATGTCAATTATATCTCAATTTTTTTTTTTTAACGTGAACCACTGACAAGGAAACATGTTTTTCTATGAAGGCTATCTTCAGTTTTCATGCATTACTAAATAATCCAGTTTGTACTGTTTTAATAAATAGATCTTGTTTGTATGCAAAGGAGTGGCTTGCATCTGTGTGCCGAACCTGCCTCAGCTGGCCACGCCAACCTTGACTCTACTGCCACCTGGTGGGGACACTTATCCCTTCAGTAGGGAAATGTGTCATTAAAAGAACCAAATGTAATCAACATCTCAACAGTTTGGCAGGAAAGTAGCAATAAGACAAAAAGCACGTCCCAGCTCTTCCATGAATAGTAAACACGTTCACCCAGCAAGTGTCTGTCTAGGGGCTTCTCACACAGGGCAGCAAATCAATACAGTGCTTGAAACAGTTCACCCAGGGGCGCCTGGGTGGCGCAGTTGGTTAAGCGTCCAACTTCAGCCAGGTCACGATCTCACGGTACATGAGTTCGAGCCCCACATCAGGCTCTGGGCTGATGGCTCAGAGCCTGGAGCCTGTTTCCGATTCTGTGTCTCCCTCTCTCTCTGCCCCTCCCCCATTCATGCTCTGTCTCTCTCTGTCCAAAAATAAATAAACGTTGAAAAAAATTAAAAAAAAAAAAAAAACAGTTCACCCATTTCTCAGGAGAGAGACTGCTTGTTTTATTTTATTTTAAACATGTCTTGGGGCACCTGGATGGCTCAGGCAGTTAAATGTCTGACTTTGGCTCAGGTCATGATCTCGTGGTTCTGTGAATTAGAGCCCCACATCAGGCTCTGCGCTGACAACGTGGGGCCTGCCTCAGATCTCCTGTCTCCCTCTGTCTCTACCCCTTCTCCACTCATGTGTGCTCTCTCTCTCAAAAATAAACATTAAAAAAATTTTTTAATAAATAAACACCTCTGGCCAGAGGAGCCAGAACCTGAGATATGGATATTAAAATAAGCAATAAATGCATTATTGAGCCCCGTCTCCTAGGGCTCCAAAAACAACTGAGGAGTTGATGTCAGGGTGTTCATCTTCTGAGGCTCCTCAGTCCCAAAGTCACCCGGTGATAAGTCCTCGTGATACCTCAGTGTTCTGAATGGGTCAGTATAACTTCTCAAAAGGCATACCACCAAAAATAACAATAAATAGCTAACATAACCGGGGGTCAGCTAAATTACCATGAGGGCTACCTACTTTGGGCCGGTGTTGTTCTAAGCCCTCTACAGCTATTGACTTATTTCATTTTGGGTTAATTAAGTCTCAGGTTATATGTTACAGATGCGGACACCAAGGCACTGAGAAATTAGCTAACTTGTCCAAGGTCACAGGGTTTGGGTTTGGTGATCTAGCTCCAGAGGCTGACCTTTTGTGATGCTATTCTGCCACAGCCAGGCTGCCAGTCCTGCGGTGGCACCTCACCGGCCCTTTCAAACCACTACCTTCATTTGCTGCTCCCTCTGCCTGACTGGAGTGCCCTTTCTCCCTGCACTTTGAAAATTCCTACCATCTGTGTGACTGGGTTCAAATCTCGCCCCTGACCCTTCCAAACAGACTTACCAGTGGTCACCTCTGGTCCCTCCACACCCGTTTCAGCCCATATGACATTCTATGGGCATCACAGAGTGTGTTTACATGTTGGTTCTTCCATTTAGCTGAGTTCTGTGAGGGTGACCAATGTGTCCGCTATACCTCCATAGCCAAATGTTTGATATAGAGTATATACTTAATAAGTGTTGAACAACCAAAAGAATGAGTAGCAATATTGTAATATTCAACTGTGACAACTATATCTGCAAGGTAGCAAGACTATTTCCACAAACCACACGTTACCTTATAAAAGTCAAGCTGTGTGTGTGTGTTTGCGCATGCATGCACAAAAAAACAGGGATGATGACAATGAACCACAGCTCCAGATGGAGTATATTCTCATAACCTGGGAACAAGGTCATGAGGAGGTCAACCTTCCTTTCCAGACTTGAGTCTGGTGAAACCTGACACAGAATGGACAAAAGAGGCCTCAGTGTGAGTCATAGGTTAAGTCTAAGAGGTGTCATATACAGCTGTGTTCCTGGTAATATCTGGTCACTTTGTTGAGGCTCCAGGCTAAATGATCAGGAAAGTGAATCATATTGAGAAAATATCACGGCAATACTCATCACAGAGCAGCTTTTAATGCCAACCTACTAGAAATCACCTACAAGTTTACACACAGATACTTGCCAACACATCATGTTCCATGTAAGTAGAATGAGGACACAAACAGAGACTCCCGACAATTGATCAGGAAAATAGGATAGTATATCATTTATGTAAGTATGTCTATATATGTGCCTAGAAAAAAAGTCTGAAAGAATAGAGTAGTATCCTCTGTGAGGTAGGATCACAGTTGATTTCTGGGACATTTTTCCTCTGCATGTTCTACAATTCATTATAGTTTATTCCGTTGATAAAGGAAATAAAGGTTTTAAAAATATTTTTTAATGTTTATTTATTTTGAGAGAGAGAATGTGTGTGTGCAAGCAGAGAAGGGGCAGAGAGAGAGGAAGAGAGAGAATCCCAAGTAGGCTACGTGCTGTCAGCACAGAGATCGACATGGGGCTCAATCTCACAAACCACGAGATCATGACCTGAGCCCAAATCAAGAGTTGTACACTTAACCAAATGAGCCACCCAGGAGCCCCAAAATAAAGGTTTTTTTTAAAAATAACTAAATATGTATGTAATCCATGCAATTGTTTCCTAATTTGCCCTGACAAGAAATGATGTTGTTTATAAAGAAAACAATCAAGGGGCGCCTGGGTGGCTCAGTTGGTTGAGTGTCCGACTTCAGCTCAGGTCACGATCTCACGGTTCATGAGTTCGAGCCCCGCATCAGGTTCTGGGCTGATGGCTCAGAGCCTGGAGCCTGCTTCCGATTCTGTGTCTCCCTCTCTCTCTCTGCCCCTCCCCCATTCATGCTCTGTCTCTCTCTGTCTCAAAAATAAATAAACATTAAAAAAAAAATTAAAAAAAAAAAAAAGAAAATCAATAAACCTAAAAGACAAGCTACTGAATGGAGGAAGATATTTGCAAATGACATATGTGATACAGGAGTAGTATCTAAAATATATAAAGAACTTATATAACTCAACACCTAAGAAACAAACAATCCAATTAAAAATGGGCAGAAGACATGCACAGACATTTCTCCAAAGAAGACA